TAAACTTACTGATGAATGTAAACCCTGAAAGGCAGTTAGTTAGCCTTACTGATGAAGGTAAATCCTGAAAGGCAGTTAGTTAGCCTTACTGATGAAGGTAAATCCTGAAAGGCAGTTAGTTAACCTTACTGATGAAGGTAAATCCTGACAAGCAGTTGGTTAGCCTTACTGATGAAGGTAAACCCTGAAAGGCAGTTAGTTAGCCGTACTGATGAAGGTTAACCCTGAAAGGCAGTTAGTTAGCCTTACTGATGAAGGTAAATCCTGAAAGGCAGTTAGTTAGCCTTACTGATGAAGGTAAACCCTGAAAGGCAGTTAGTTAGCCTTACTGATGAAGGTTAACCCTGAAAGGCAGTTAGTTAGCCTTACTGATGAAGGTAAACCCTGAAAGGCAGTTAGTTAGCCTTACTGATGAAGGTAAACTTACTGTTGTAGTGTATCAATCCTAGGTTTAAGTAGACAATTGCCATGAAATGTAAAACGTAAAATGAAGCCAATTGTTGTTTTATAAGCTCTTTTTTTCTATTGCTGTACAATCATGGCATCTACATGAACCAAATTTTGAATGTTTAATAATACTAGTAATCAGGAAAAGTATGACATTTACAATATGTAAAATCATTGAAATCATGAAAACAGCACGTTGATCACATAGTCGACTCATCCCCCTAGTATTCTAACATTTGGGTAAATTTAAAGAAAATGATACGTAACATTGCATTTACCATTTGTATAACAGACATAATCCTTTAAATAAACTCGTTCTAAAAGGTTACCAATTCAACACTGTAATTAGATCTTTGAATATTGTTTTATTGGTATAAATATTGATATTGATATCAGTAATTAAAACCATGCTAAATATTATTGTTATACGCATATGCACTTTCACGGTACTACAATCTGTCGATACCTATATTTTGGCATTGCACAAGATCATGTTTTTCTCTGTCTGTTAATGACGTCTTTACACTAAATCCATTGGATGTTGGATGTGTACTGATTGATATTTTAGTCTTAGATACAGGATTTTTTTATTAGTTATTATTGGCTTTGAACTAGCTGTCAGTAGCTGCGAGGACTCTCAGATCTGTACTTGGGTCTTTTTTGTTGTTAAGGATGAGGGATGTATAAATACCCTGCCACGTCCGGTCAGTGTTATTTGCTTGATGTTTTTCTGCTTTGTATCGATCTGATGAGTCAAGCTTTAATAGTTTGTTCTTATGTTGTGCTGTAACGCCACTGTCCCAGGTTAGGGGAGGGTTGAGCGCTCACAAACATATTTAACCCCGCCACATTCTTTATGTGCCTGTCCCAAGTCAGGAGCCTGTAGTGCAGTGGTTGTCGTTGGTTCATGACTGTCATATTTGTTTTTCGTGAATCTTTTTGTTATAGATTAGGCCGTTAGTTTTCTCAATTGAATTGTTTCATATTTTTCATGTCGGGGCCTTTTATAGCCGACTATACGGTATGGGTTTTTCTCATTGTTGAAGGCCGTACGGTTGCCTGTAATTGCTTACATCCACTTCATTTGAACTTTGGTGGATAGCTGTCTCATTGGCAATCATACCACATCTCCTTATTTTTAAAACTGAAAAGAGAATACTTTTGCAATAGCTTTTTCATATTAAATACTAAAACTTTTTAGATATTTAGACATATTAAGTAGATGTTCATAATATCCACTTGACATTTTATCATATGACTTCTGTAGTTAGTAATGAGTCTTTGAAGCATGCTCACAAAGGTTCATTTGTTGATATCATTTTCATACTGGTCAAAACTTTTTTTTTGCTTTGAACAGCTTTGGAGGAGATATTTTCAAAGAATTAATAAAAAATAACACAGAAATTCACTTTCTAGCTCATCTAGCCCCAATCATCATGTTAGGCATTGTCATTACTAAAACACATTAAATGTCTTCTAAACTGAGAAACAATTTCCACATTTAACCGAAATCTTTTACTTATGATACTGACAATCCCCCACAAAGTAATATAAATAGAACCATACAAATAGTAAGCAAATACATGTTCTCAGATACCATCTCCCATATAAAAAAATCACATTAAGAAAAAAATGAACCTATTATGTGTTCCTCTCCTAGCTACAAAATGTATCCAAAATCAAAGATGTGGAACATATTCTATCATAATCATTTGGTAATTAATGCAATTAGTATCTCTTCCATGCCCGTGTTGAACATAAAAAACTAAATATTACATAAACAACACCCCTAATGCTTATGTTGGTTGTCATTGTGCAACACAGTTAATACATAGAAAACATAAAACATAGAACTCCTTTTGTCATATAAAACACTGTCAAACATCCAATCATACTATCCACACTGATCTGTGTCCACACTTGTTTTTATACAAAATTCTTGCTATTACTTAAACCAGATATATAGATTATATATCAGAACATGTGTTTGTCTGATTTTATTTCCTTTATCAGATTTGTGACTTTTTTCATACTTGTACAAAATTTGTGAACTTTTTTGCTGTGACTATTTTTAAACAAATTTGTGATTTTTTTGTTTACCATCGAGGATGACGATAATCAATTGGTTTATGCGTCTAAAGAGGTATCTCTTTTTTAATATGTTAGCTTGGTAAACTGTTGCTTAAATTTTAACTTGCAGCACACAACAGAGAACGATATAATGTGTACAATAGTGAAGTGATTTATTAATTAATCCCGAGGAACATACACGACTTGTCTTGAATACAATATATATCGAATAGCCTATGGTCATTTATCAACAAACTGTTTATCATCGATAATTACACATAATAATGCACGCATAACAGAAACTGATTGACAGAAATATGCGACCAATAACTATAAAAACAAACCACATTATAAAATATGTTACGCCTACCAGGTCTTTACCGGATGTTCGTTACATCAGAAATCTGTCAATTAACACATGGTCATCAGCTTTTAGTTAACTTGAAACCTTTCAAAAAGTCCAGGAAGCCATAATTATTGAAAATATTGAGAATTATTGAACTATAAATACACATAAATAATATCAAGAAGTCTATTCACAAACATGGACTTCTAAACATTTGTCGTGTTCAAAATTTCATCGGGTGGGAAATAATGTCTCTCTAAAGGAATACATTTGTATAAAATTTGGTCAATTAAACTTATCCTCGGCGTCCGCTAGTACAAACCATGTCGTGGGTGGTACGTTTAGTTGTGTGAGATGTATAATTATATAAATATGCAGCCACGTATGGTCCGAATGGAAAGTTTGATGGCGTGTGTTGCCACGCCGTCTGAAAATGTTAAAGAGTCCTTGGAGAAACTTTGCAGGATTCGTAAGTGGCCTGTTGACAGCAAATATTTTTACTCCTATCCAACATACCATATTTTCCTTTTGGCAGTCCAAATTCCCGTCCTTCATCTTGGTCAGAACATATGAATAATATTGCAGGTTCATGAATATTAAATATAAGCACCAGTTTGCCTCAAACTAGACTATAAGTATTGTAGAACCTATCTACATAATATCAATTTGTAGCCAGTATGAATATCACTGAAATATCTGCCACTGGATGTTAAACAGACAATCAATCAATCAAATGAAGTTGTAATTATTTTTGTACATTTATTGTCATTAGATAAAAAAAATTGTGACAATAAATGGCATGACACATTCTTCGTTGTCTGTCGTGAAGTAAATACAATTTGTATTTGACTGTATAAAATAAATTGTAAATCAAGACTTTGTTATTTGTATACAAAATTCTTAAAAATAAAGTTTCATAACATAAAAGTAAAGTAATATTTATCATGCTAATAATGCAGAGACTTAGCTGATATGATTCTACTGTTAATTTATACGACATCAAATTGAGGAATAGTTATACCGTATTTGAAAACTAAAAGTATTAAAATATATTTGCAAAATATAATTACATTTTTGTGTGATAGTTATCATGCAATTCTGAATAGACCTAGTAGATATGAAAGTATAGTCAAGTAATACGAATAACCTCTTAAGGAATAATTCGATCTATCTTATTTGAAAACTGAAAATGTAAATATTTCAAAATATAATAACATATACTTGTGTGATTTTTATTCGACGGAAAACTGTTTGATAAAACATAATGAATTTTAAATACTGGATTTGGAAGGATAAAAAAGTCTGGGATGGGAAGAAAAGGACATAGAAGAAAGAGGATTATATAAACGATATCATAATTTGTTTAATTCTATATCGCATGTCAGAAAATGAAGTTTGTGCCAGACGTTAAGATTTTGGACAGATTTATTACTAATGGTATTCTAGATGTGTCAATGGCTTTTATTTAATGGCTACACAACTGTCATAGTTTTTATTGATGGACCTTTGTGACAAGACAAAACGTATTGACGGAATGCGAGTTTTCTATCGAGGTAAGATATTTTACTTTAAAAAATTTCTAGAAGAAAATAGCATGAAATACAATATTCTCACAAAACATCAGGTTTGTTACTAGGGAAAACCTATAGTTCTCGCTTATCTAAATGGTTGCAAAGTATGCACAATTTAACAGACACTCACACAAAAACTATCAGGGATTTTCCGAACCACGCGCTTTTCCTGTATATTACGTTTATCTAATATATATGATATGGAACGACATCATAATCATGATGAAAGAAATTTTTAAAGTAATATTCTATTCTTATGATAATACTGAAGGGGAATTTTATTTGAATTTGTTTGAATCAAATTTCGATAAGAAACATTCATTTATTTAATGACTGAAATCATTGGCCTTGTAGTATATATGAACATTAAGAATTCCAGTAAACAATGTTGATAATTATGATGGATTGATCTTTTTTTTACAAGACACTATAAAACAAAAACGTCTTTGACCTCAAATGACCTAACAATGAATACCTTAAATTTCATTCCAGGAACCATTATTAGGCAGATATAATGCATGCATTTATACTTCTAATATTAATAATTGGGACCACACGAGCTTTGATAGAGGAAATACCGCTTCCAAATGAGCTCAGCATTTGTTTTGAATCCCTGAGTAGAAAAAATGACATGACCAAAGTACCATGTACAGAAATCCAATGGCTCTGCATGCAGAAAAGCCTGTGGAGACTTGTCGACCACAGCATCATGAATATTTCCGATGTTGACAGAAAATGGATCGATGCCATACTTCAAATTCCAGATTTCAGAAGTGCTACAAGTGCTGCTACATCCACAACAGGAACCGGAACTGCAACTGGAAGTGGTAGGAAAAGGCGCCAAGCTGCAGCTTCACTGCGCATTCGAACAGAGTATCGAATGTTGAATGACCTTGAAAGGGATCAATATCATCGTGCTGTTAATACACTGAAGCAGCTCCCTGTATGTATAACTTAAGAGACTGAGTTTACGAAACACAAGAAAACGCAAATGATTTTTTTGGGACGACCAAATTTGAATCATCAAAGATCATTAAATCAGTTCTTTTTCACGCGCAACACTAAACAATTGTGAAAAGAAACAAATTATATTTACACTAAATAAGCTAAACATTTATAGAAATTGGCTTAACCAGCAAACACAAATCATAATTTAGATAAAGGTAAACTAGTTGTCTGTCCTTTTTGTTTATACTCTCACAATGCGTAAAGAATGATTTTCTTGATAAAAAAAAAGTAATCAGTTTTACTTAATATATTCTTTTTTACAAAGTAACATATATTTTATCTTCAGATTGGAAACGTGTCAAGGTATGACTTTATAGCCAACATCCATCGTGGAGACGCAATTCCAGTGGCTCATTTCAGTCCAAACTTTCTAGGATGGAATAGAGTTTACCTTTTGATGTAAGTTATATTCAATTTTAAATACCAATTCTTTTTGACACAAGACATCTTTGGAGTCCGGCATGGTCTTATTCTTTTACTTGGGAAGATGGCATATCAAAGTAAATCGTATAATAAGCTGAGGTGTACAACATATCACCTTTCGGTTACAACATATTGTTATAAAATGAGAAAATATGGTATAATTGCCGATGAGACAACTGTCCACCAGAGATCAAATGACGTGGATGTAGGCAATATATGTCTTGTATAACTGTCTCGATGATGATTATCCCATATCTCCTCTCATTCAAATTTTCAATACGCAAACATGATGTCAGACATTGAAATGGCTTGTATGATTAAAAAAATAAACAGACAATTTTATGAAAACTAGTTTAACGCAGCCACATATTCATATGCTTGTCCTTAGTCAGGAACCGACAGTGGTTGTTATCAATGAGGTTGGGTTTATTTTTGATAGGACGTAGGTTGTTTGTTTTTGTTTTATTGTTTTGTTGTTGTTGTTGTTGTTTTGTGTGTGGTGGGTAGGTTAGTATTTTTGTGTGTTATTTTCTATTTTTCAATTTGTTTTTTTTTGGGGGGGGGGGGGGGGGGAATTTGGTGTTGATGGTTGATCAGTGATAGTTTCTCTATAATTTATCCACCACTTTAATAGACTCTGGACAATTTAAAGTTTGACACATTGGAGACACCTGTCAATTGTTGAAGACTGCATGTTGCTCCCTATATGGCCTATGCTTATTTTTAATGATTGTTGGGTTGCTGTTTTAATGAAGTATACACTACACCTCTTATTCATAAATATTATTACTAACCGGTGAATAAATATTAAAAAATATTTAAATGTTCACGCCTTTAGGACATATGTAATTTTTGCTTTATACCAACACTGAAATGTAATAAAAAATAATAGCATTACAGTTTTTTATGTAAACTGAAAATGACATGTACACTTTATAAATTCGATGCATGAGAGGCGCTTTTTGGATTAAATTTCACAAGGAAAGCTCAAAAACCCCAAAATTGGAAGCCAAAGGTGTATAAATATTTGAATATTTAAGGAGCAATATGACCAAAAGGAACCAAAGTAGAATAGCGAAATCCATTTAAAATCATTTTGTCTGATATAGTTGAAACCTTAAATTCTTAATTACTTTTAAATTTTTCAACGAGGATATATAATAAATCAGACTGCTTAGCTGATGGTTACATTTGGGTACTATCAGTCCAACAGCAGCGGTGTCGACCAAGTACTAAAAATTAAAATAATATTTTGTAAATTTAATGTGTATGGGGCGCTTTTCTGGATTAACCTTCATTAGGCCAAACAAAAAAGTATGTGTGTTTACTGTACCCCTACCTTCCCTAATTTTATCCCCTACCCTTAAGTTTTTTTTACCATTTTTGATTAAGCCCTGTTAAAGTCACAATATTGCTCCCATTGACTCAATGTAAAAAAAATATTAAAAATAAAAAAAATTCCCTACCTACTTACCCTATTTTTTTCAGCATGTAACAGTAAACACTCAAACTTTTTTGTTTGGCCTTAGCAATGCTCAAATACGAAATAAGTGAATGCCAAAGATATATAATTACTTGAGTACACAAGGAGCTATATGACAAAATGACATAAAAATAGAATAACCAAAAATGCTGTATGCATATACGATTCAACGGGGAAAGGTTACAAGTTCGAAGAAAGTCAATTTACCAGGAAGGTCATTGTGAGGATAAATAAGTCCTGGATTCTTTTACGAAAATGTACAGTAATACATCTTTATCATGTCTGTATATTGCATTATGTTTTGACAAGAGTAGTTCATATTTTTGAAAATACAACAAAGATAAAACAAATTTTAAATGCTTGTAAATAGATATATAATAAAAAAGTTATAAATGCTTATAAATAGATATCTATTTACTGCAGGGTTTGTTGCTCGTGCTTTGTGGATGCAGTAGAATGTGTCCCCGTGCTTGTGGCGTATGCCCTTATATTTTTCAATTATGGGTTGTTTGCCTGTGAGAGAGCTTTCACATGTTTATCTATTTACTGCAGGGTTTGTTGCTCGTGCTTTGTGGATGCAGTAGAATGTGTCCCCGTGCTTGTGGTGTATGCCCTTATATTTTTCAATTATGGGTTGTTTGCCTGTGAGAGAGCTTTCACATGTTTTTCTATAATACATAATTTAACATAATTTATGGATGCTTATAAATCACCCAAAGCTTAAATTTTGACAGATTTTGGCTTTTTTTTTGTATTTGTCTCACAAATAGTCTGCCGGAAATAAGTAAAATTATACAAATAAAAAGTGTACAGTTTCCAAAATTAAAATGATCTTCAATGTCAAAACTTAATGTATAAGTATTTATTGAAATGTTGATTGAGTATATATACTTAACAACAAAAGAAACTCACCACATCCATTGTTTTCTTTGAGAGTTAAAATTTAAAAAAAATATTGAAATGAGTCAAAAAAATTTCACAACGTTTTTGAAGTCATTAAGACTAAATTCTGTGAAAATGAGAATTTTCTTAACTTTAATTTTTGATATCTCAAAAAATCATTTTTAACCGAAAAAATAAAATGTTACAAAATTTGTGAAAACTAAAGTCGAAATTATCTTTTCACCTGAAAACAATGAAAATGACTTTGATTTTCAGTTTCTTAATCGAATTCTTGTCTGATACCCAATTTGACCAATTTGACACTGACTTATCTCAGATTTTGGATTTTTGACTTTTGTTTTTTAAAATCTCTATTGTCGCCAATAGAATGAACATTTCTCCGTAAACTCTGCATTAATTTACAGGTTATGTCTAAATTTTAATAAATTTTTACAAATTTGTTGCAAAAACAAACAATTGTGAACTAATTTATAGGGTAAGATTTGGTGACTTATTTGTGTTGTTAAGTATATTAAAACTCTTTGATTTAACTCCATGTTAAATCAGCTTTCATCAACTTTCCGAATTAAGACCTGTTAGTGGATCAAATACAATCGAAAGAAGCCACTGTGCCCGACATTCCATTATACTCATTGTACTGAAATACACCATATATGAATATTCATAATATATTTCCTAATAAGATATGTTGATTTCACTGTTATGTCTGTGAAGACACTTTATCAAGGTATTCTATTGACATGGAATGATAATTCACTTACTTATACATATATATATATATATATATATTATGTAAATCATATAAAATTAACATATTCTTGCAATTGGTTAGTTTTTGGTGTAAAGTTCATTTTGTTTACCACCACAACTGGGTTAATGAATAATTATATATCATCGTTCTCATATAGTGTTATATTGTAATTTGATGCGCGATCATTTAATTAATTATCCTTCTTTTAGGTCTTGAAACCGTTCACTCATGAATATTGATAACCCTTTATTTTTTAAAACTGTGTAATTGGCATCTTTACCTATAGAAACATTAGTTTTAAACTCATGTAGTAAGATAAGAGTTTGACCTCCTCGTTAGTTTTAATGTTTTTTCTCTCTGTATCGTTTAATGCTGTATTTTGTATCGAAATTTACTCAGATTATTTGAAGATTATTTTCTGTAGCTATTTTCTTAAAAGATACGACTGGGTCATTGATTTCATGTCGCCTGTTTTTGTGTTATTATGGGGCCAATGTTCTTTAAAATGTTTTTTTTTTACAGATACGAGAATGCTTTGCGCCAGATCGACCCTACAGTAACTGTGCCATACTTTGCGTCAGACTTAGACGATCCTTTAGATGATCCAACACACAGTGTTATCTGGTCAGATATATTTATGGGGAACGGTGATGGTGTTGTCAAGACTGGTCCGTATGGGAACTGGAAAACACCATCAGGACCTCTTGTCAGGAACATTGGTAGCATGGGCCAGCTTTTATCAAGTAGCAGAATTGGACGAATATTAAGTAAAAATCGAACTGAAGAAATATCTGAACCAACAGCTCAATACGACACAAATCTTGAACGACAACAGTATTTGGTAAATCGGTGGATAGGTGGTGGAGGTGGACAAATGTCAGACCTAAATTCCGCTGCGCATGATCCAGCCTACTTTAACCATCTTGCTTATGTTGACTATATTTGGGAACAGTTTCGAATGTTGCAACGTCAAAAAGGAATCAATCCTGCCAAGGATTATCCTGTTGGGCGTGGAATACCAAGTACTACTGAACCAATTGGTTTTGGAACTCTTCAAAATATAGATGGTTACAGTAGTTACTTCACTGAGTCAGTTTACACTTATGAATACCTACCAGAATGTTCCATTGATCATACAGATTGTGGATCAGTGTATCTTAGGTGTGATACCAGTGTACATGTTCCTCAATGTGTTTCACTCACTCGACATGAATGGAACTTACATCTAAAGGCCACTGGTCAACTAGGTACTAGTCCTAGTTTGGGAGGATTCAGCTTCGGTCAGAGCGCCCTTCCAGTGCAATCAAATAGTAATCAGTGTCCATCGTCCGATAGAGGCATACAGAATAGATACAGAGTGGATGATATGACAGATATAAGAGAATGGGTGTACATTCCCGTAGAAATCCTCAGTAGAAGACCTCCTGAAAAAACGATTTATGATTCCTATCCAGTTTTCCATAGTAACGTCATTTACGACGGCGATGTCTATTCACCGGATGCCTACCGTGTTTTGAGAAACACTCTACACACTGTGCGATTGGGAAAATATGACTATTGTAAAGACACTTCTTCAAATGCTGGTAAAATATTCATCAAATCTGAGGGACTTAATTATTATGGTTCTTACCAAGAATATGCAATAGTTGACAACAGAATGGCCCTGTCGTCTTCAACAGCGTATGTGGCGGTTAGGTCACCAGAGCTAGGAATGACACAAACACTCATTACTGCGCATGACTCGTGTGGTAGAATGTGTTCTGCTTACTGTAAAATGAAAGGGCGAATAGAATATCAACCATGTCATGGAGCATTGCAGATGACGTCTGCAACACCAAAACAGTACAGTGTGAATTTCGGGGAAGTAATTGAGGATACTTGGGAATTTTATAAAAAGAGATATTTTCCAAGAGTGAAAGTAGATAATGTTTTTATAAAGTTTTTCTGTAGTTATAATGAATACTGGCCAAAGAAAATAGAAAAACCACCAACCGTCATGTCATCCAAGAAAACCAGCAATCAGAACATGCATCAACTAAAGAGTTCAGGCGTTCAGGGAGGAGTTAAAAAGACTGGAACCCAAGTTAAACCATCCATCCGACTTAATACTGGTGTACAGCCACAAAGAACCAATACTGTATCACTGCCACAAAGGACCAAAACTGCACCTCAGCAAAGGACCAATACTGCACCGCAGCAAAGGACCAATACTGCATCTCAGCAAAGGACCAATACTGCACCTCAGCAAAGGACTAATACTGCACCTCAGCAAAGGACTAATACTGCATCCCAGCAAAGAACCAATACTGCACCCCAGCAAAGGACCAATGCTGCACCCCAGCAAAGAACCAATACTGCACCTCAGCAAAGGACTAATACTGCACCCCAGCAAAGAACCAATACTGCACCCCAGCAAAGAACCAATACTGCACCTCAACAAAGGACCAACACTGCTACTCAGCAAAGGATGTCTCAAATCAATTCACCGCCAATTGTATCTTCAAATATGGGAGCAAACACACATCAAAGCCAAAACCAGATGCTATCTAATTCAGTATCCACACAAAATACAGGTCAGGGAGGGATACGAAATCCAGGTATGTATTAAACGTTTTATTCACATTCAACAGATTAAGACTGTTGACGCATGCGCTGTAATATTTTTTTACCGTTGCAATGTAAATGTAAAACTATTTAAAGCAATTCATGTAAAAAGTAAAATCACAAAAATACTGAACTCCGAGGAAAATTCAAAAAAGAAAGTCCCTAATCAAATTGCAAAATCAAAAGCTCAAACACATCAAACGAATGGATAACTGACTTGGTACAAGCATTTTCTTATGTAGAAAACGGTGGATTGAACCTGGTTTTATAGCTAGCTAAACCTCTCTTGCATGACATCAAATTCCATTATATTGACAACGATGCGTGAACAAAACAAACAGACACAATAGGTAAAAATGTCAAAAATAGGGGTACAGCAGTCAACATTGTGTTATCATCTTAATCACTATAAAAACAAACAAATTTGATAAAGAAGCACAAAAAGGCATACATCAAATTTAACAACCTCATTTTGCTTTTTTATTATACGATTTTATTTATATATGTAAAATCCACCCATAAAGGATTGAAAGATTTTAAGTACTGGGACCGAATTCTTAACCCGACAGACACATGGTTAGATTAACATTAACTTTAACGTAGAATCGCGCGTTTGACGTCACACAGGTAGAAATAAAATAATTTTGTCGTTCAATGTATGACGGGATGTATAAGTACAGAGTCACGTCAAATGGATATCACAAAAAACAGACTTAACAGTTAAAGTAATATTAATAAAGACAAATAAAAGAATACTATAACACGTTATTAAGATGATAAACAACGTTAGGACGCAGAATCTATACTTCAAGACCATCGTGTATTAATTGTGAAGTTAATAGTTTGGATTGATCTTAGAAATATTTCATGATCCGAATGATTTATCTCCCTTATTCGTTGAATTTATATAACCTTCTCTTTAATTTGGAAGTTGATGTTTCTTGATATCGTATAACACACACTTAAAATCTGTTCATGGTAAATGAAAAACCGGAAGGTCTGGATGGGATTTAAAGAATAGAGAATAAAGGGTAAAAACTTTAAAGAATAGAGAAAAATAGGCAAAAACAAAGAATACAGAATAATGGCAAAATACATCATAAAGAATAGAGAAACATGGTCTTAAACATGTTAAAAATGAAAGAATATATAGAAATGTTCCCCCCATCCAGACCATTTTACCTGGTGTCTTATTGTCAGCTCATTTTCCCACAAACTTTATGCTGACATTCAGTATGATATTGTCTTCATAAGTTTATATATTTCTTTACAGGCTGTTTACTTGGACATGGCTGTATTGTTGCAGGCTCATGCAGAACGTGTACACATGGTCAGAAAATAGCATGCATCAAATCTTCAACATTGTTTGCTCATTGTCAAGGCACTTCATTACTCATCAGACGTTGTCTATCTAATAGTCGTTTTGATTCTGTTACAGGCACATGTCTAATGTAATTAATGTAAATGGAATAAGATTATAAGATTGTCGCATGATAACGTTTTGTTTTAAAAAAAATGTTATAATTTGCAGTGATCTTAGTAGTCATTGTTGTTGTTACAAACCAGCACGATTTGTAAACTTATTAACACCATGGAACAACGAGAATCATAAGAATTAAGATACAGGCATAAAACTGAGGTTTCAACGTGCTAATGCAGCGAACAATATTTTTTGGCAGTATATTATTTTGTTTATGTTACAATGCACACAGTACTCCAATTAAATATAGCATTGCCAGAATTTAAAATTAGGATTCCAAAGGATCTTACTTGGCGTATTTTCGTTCAATATAAAATTAAGTTAAATCTCTTACGAAAAAAACACTTGCTGGTGGAAAAGTAAAATTTTGAAAATGATATAAGTTAGTGTCAGGAGCATGACCGTGAATACTTAGGATAAAAAGTATTGCATAGTTACAGTAAAAACTGTTCTCCTCCGCGGGAGGGACACTGTTGTAAACCATTCCAATTGATAATCATCGAATCGTAGAGAGGATAGAAAATACTTGCAAGCATATGACAGTTCAAATTAATGGAACAAATTGTCCAATTAAGAATTGTGTTCTTATATTTTATAAAGAAGAGTGTTGTTATTCTTGTTTTATCGTGCCCTTTTCTTATGTTTATACATGTATTTTTAGAATAAAATTCTGAATGATTTTATGAAATTCATCTTATTTAAAAAAAAAAAACATTTCCAACACACAGGTAAATTATCGTATTCTTGTCGTTGATTTCTTTGTTAGTACATTTAGTCAAGAGGATGTCGTTGGTTACTGTCGGCCATTACTGTTTCCATTGAATTTTATTCATGCCCTTGGTTTTTTTTCTTTTGAATTGTTTCACATTATGTTATTTCGGGGCCTTTTATAGCTTACCATAAGATATCGGTTTTGTTCATAGTTGAAAGCCATACGAGGACCTGTAGTTGTCAAAGTCCCTGCACTTTGGTCATTGTTGGAATTTTTTCTCATACAGTCATACAGCATCTACTTTTTGGTATGAGTATTTAATTGTTTTGAACTTTTATACAATTTTAAGCTTGTGAAGAAGAGACGTACATGAAGAAAAAACGAATAGATCTATGAAGATAAAAGAGCTGTTAAAGTTGTTAACGAATACTTTATTTATTTAACTGCATAAAAAAAGTTGACCACAGATGGGTTTTACATTATATAAGTTTTATGGTCACTATCACAAATTAGTTGACTAATACAATGTGTATGTGTCTAAACTCACAAGCAACATATTTTCACACTTTGGATCTTTCTGTAACTAGAATATTCGTCTGATCTGTAAATTTACTTATATAGTGTCCTATTCCCGATTGTGACATTTTAGCTGGATTCACATGACAGGTAACACATGCACAGCAGGAGAAGTTTCCCCAGTCAACGCACCTGTCCCGCTCCCTTTTACATCATACGAATTTTTTTTATCTTGATTTGTATCTTCTTAATGAATTTAGGAAATTAAAAAAATCGGTAAACTACAGTTTCCTCTAATTTTGGCAATTTTTTTTGCTACTTTACAACATAATTTTTGATTGAAATATCCCAAATTCTTTATTCTGAGCGTTCCGTGTGAATGCCAATCCTTTTTTTTTTTTTTTTTTTTTATATTTTACTATAATTTGTAGGAACAAGATGAAGACATCTGTTGTTGACATATACTATATTAGAGTACATTATATGAATAGATATAACATATAATACATCTAAAAGAATGCATACGTTTGGTTTCTAATCTATCATCCGTCACCAACTTGATCTACGACAACGTAGACAAACATAAAGGAGTATTAAAAGTCACTGTAGAGTTTATTAGGTCATACGAATGTTAATCGTGTGTAATAATACAAGGGAATTATACGAAACGGAAACGTACGGGAGTTTGATTAGTCGACAGAAAAGCAATTCACAAAAAAATATTGTTTTATGCTCAAAGGCGAAACTTGAACAATAGTTTATACTATACTGAATTTGTAAAATACATTGCTGCTTGATCAAATAGCACTTGTGCATAGAAAAGGGTCTTTCTTTTCACTTGTATATTTTATTTTGACAATAAACGTATTAATTTTAATTGAATAAATAATCTTAAAATGTATTGTTTATTTGGGTGAAAATATATGTTTTAATTTTAAGCTCTTTCAACAAAGGAAGAGGTATGTTAAGAGCCATTTGTAACCCCGGAAATGCCCCAAAAAAGTAAAATTAAGCAAGACTTTAAAAAATGTGTTAAATGAACAGGGTCATAAAATAAATTATAATCTAGTAAATGACGAATTGGTTAACCGATAATATGTTGGTGTTTCCATTCGCAAGCGATGAGTTTTCTTAATCTTATATCTTTAGATACCAGATTAGTCATATCTGTTATTTTACCTAGTGTGTCCTATTCTGGATTGTAACATTTTGACTGAGAGTTGGTTCGCACGGCGGTTGATGTATGCATATCCTTCGACGCACATGATATCATGCGATTACTTCAGTTTTTGTTTGTTGCTATCAGATTTGAACATCAGTAAGGTACTGGTGCCTTAATACAGAAGAACATAGACAAGATATTACAACACAAAGTTACATATGTAAAGGTAACAGCAAACTACAGTAACACTATCAAGTGCTTAACATGTAGTGTAGATGAAGGCAGAATCAAAATGTTGAGGGTGGTGTAGAAAAAAGTAAAATCACAAAAATACTGAACTCCGAGGAAAATTCAAAAAGGAAAGTCCATAATCAAATGGCAAAATAAAAAGCTTAAACACATCAAACGATTGGATAACAACTGTCATATTCCTGACTTGGTACAGGCATTTGTAGACGAGTGAATCCAATATTCATCAATGACTCTAATAAATGTACATTATTTTTTCCGTTTTGATTGTTCCAATATATTCATTAACATTTTTAACTTCCTAACATTACAATTGCAGATATATGTCTTTATTATATTTTTTTTGCTATTAGTTATTTAAAAAAAAGTAGCCTAAAAGTAGTTAATAATACTAATCACAAGGATCATTTTCGTTGCATAATTGACAAGCCTATTTTCTCTTGTTATGGATTCCAACCTTCTACATTCTATTGGAAGTTTATGATTTATCGTTCAATATTTTAAAAAAAATATTACAATATCCCTTTTATCAAGGATATCAAAATATTTTTCGAGCACTGGGTTGATAATACTGATTGTGGATTACTAGTCCCGGCAGTATCATCAACTCTGTGGACTGTTCTTTCCACGACCGAAATGATTTATTTCTATGGTTTTTCGTGGGGTTTGTGTAGCTCAGTCTCCAGTTTTCTGTATGGAGTTTTTTAGAATGTTCTTCATACTCGTTTTTTCCATGTAGTCTGTTTTTTTGACATGATTTGTTTTTGCCTCTTTTGGTACTTTTTCTTTCTTTTTTTTCATTAGATACTTTATTAAATTATTAAAAAAAAACTAAGGTAGAAACTCCCATATGCAAATTGATTGATTTGGCTATACGCTATAGCTCCCATTTATGTTTCTATTGCATGTATAGCTCTTAACGTTTAAAGTGCATATACATCCTTGGCGTTAAATATTTTTGGATTTGACTTTTCTAGCTCTGGGTCGATACCACAGCTGGTGGACTTCTAGTCCCCCATTGGTGTCATCAGCGCAGCAGTCAGTGTTTCGGTATTATACTGATTTATAACATACTTAATTTTAAACTTTTCGTTGATAAATATTGAAATTATTAATTAAACTAAGCTAAGGTTCCTGATGCATGTTAATCAGCATAGTTGTCATCCCTTGTGTGTTGACATGAATTATCATTGATATTGTCATATTTATAAACTTTTCCGAAATACTAAGGAGTTTTTACCCCAGGAATAGAATATCTTAGCTTTGCGAAACCTTTCGAAGTTTTTGGCACTCAATGCTCTTGTACTTCGTTCTTTATTTGGCCTTGAAACTTTTTAATTCTAGGTCACTGATGAGTCTTTTTTTTCTAGAAAAGCGCTTCGGACGAACCACGTTTATAGTGTTAGTTTTGTTTTTCTAGCACTTTGTCGATACCGCTGATGAAGGACTTTTATTCTTTGAGGGTAGCATAAGCTCAATTGTCGGTGCTTCGGTACTGGTATGATTTATAACATGCCTTTCTTAAAGTTTTCGTTGATAGATTTAGAATAAATTAGGAAAAAACTACGGTTCTAGCTGCTACCTCAGCCAAAATTGAACATATAGCGATTTGGCTATTATTTGTATGTCTCTTTAGGTTTAAAATAGCCCCTCACGTCTTCATGCACTTATTCATCTTTGGCTTTATAATTCATGGGTTCGGGTGTTCCGGATGAAGGTAATTTCAAATAGCACCACATTTTTGAAGTGTTATTTTCATTTTGGAACATTTCAGATAAGGCAAATCAAAACATTCAGATATATATCTAAACTACAATGTTACTCATTAGTGATGTGAAAGTATTATAACAGACCATTTTTGCAATCGGTTGTAAAATATGAGATGCAGCTTACCACTATTGTTTCATTATTTTTATCATTATGAACATCATTAATATTTTTATTATTATATAAAGATGAAAGAACATTATACCGCTTTCCACTTTCGGTAACATGATATAATGTATAAAATGACTGATTGCAAGTAAACATGAAAAGGTTATAATTCTCATATTTCTGTGCACTAAATTACCAAAAATTTCTTTTAAAAGGAACACTGGTAGATACCGGTGCACACACTATTTATATAACTGGTTTCCATATGCAAAATGTATGTTGATTTTATAAATTCCAATTTCATTCTTGATTGTTTCAGATTTAGTTTAAGATGTACCTACATGACTGGATATAAAGCACATAGTAATATATTATTTTTTTATTTCAATGATTTTTTTGGTTTTCCCAGCAAAAAAGGAAAAAAAATACTTTCCATATCTTTTCAATAGAGAGGGATCGGATAATGTATCCCCGACATTTTAAAAAAAGTAATGACTGAATCTTTTCTATATAGAGCAATATTAACCGTTTATTTTCGTTTTTTAGATGCACAATTTTTGAGGGTTTTTCATATCACTATTTAGACTGTCGAATCTATGCAAAGAGAGGAGCTTGGCTCACGTTGTTTTCTTGTTCACTCATATTGATATTTTATGTCTTTGCAAGCTATCATAAAATATTTTATTACTTCACTTTTCGTTTACCAAGCTAAAGATCCTTAATTGTAATAATTATTATTTAGAAGAGGATGATTACTACATTACTTGTAATATTTTGCTGTATATTGGTTGTGAAATCTGAAACATGCATTGGGAGCCACGAAAAATCCATCTTTTCTGGTATAAAATCCTCCATAAAGACATTGGAAGAGAAGTTGGAAGGTAAGATACCAGCTCAGTTATATTCAACTTTGGTATACACAACTCAAAGCTAAACAAAGATATCAAATAGGTCTGGTTTAATATATTCTCAATATTTTAGACTCTAGAGATAAGATATTAATATGCTGTATACACGCGCGCCGTATATTTTTGAAGACTGTATGTTGGTCACCAATTTAGCGTGTCGGTGGGTTACTGTCACAATAGCGAATATCCAACATTAAGTTAGCCAGGACTTTCCAAAATTCTTTTCTTGTACATTTGTAATTTTAAAATAGTCAAAG